TCCTCAGAGATCAATTTCATGAACAAAAAAAGTAAATTATTTATTTCTAAACCAATCTTTAGTACTGATTGTATTCTATAGTAAAAATCAAACTATTTTAAATAAAGGCGATTTGATAGCTCTCTAAGGTATGCTCCTGGATAATTATTAGATTTATTGTTTTTTATTAATTGATTTTAGTACTAGACAACTAATTGTAAGCTAGTTATTTTATATATATAAATTTCATATACAATGATAAAAACAATTTATTCTTATTAATTTTATTCAAATGTCCCTAATAGTTCTTTTCAAATTTGAATAAGACTTAAAATTTCTAATATTTTTTATTCGTTATTTTTTTTTTTTTTAGCTTTTGTAATAAAATATGTTGTATTTATTCACACTCAAGTTAAATTTAAACGCTGTAACACTGTGTTACTAACACAACAATATTTTGAAAAAAAAGCTATTATTTCGATTTAAAAAAAAAAACATGTTTTCATTTAAATTATTTTCGAAATATTCGTCATTATTTCAAATATTTAAAAATATTTCATAAAAAGTTCACAAACATTACTATATTTTTAAATCCAATAAGATAATCTTCCCTTATGCGTCAACTTGTCCTGCTATCCCTCACATCTTATTCTCTTATATTTTGCACATTACAGGTATATTTTGAATGGAATGACGCTATTTTAGCTTTGATGCAAAGTTGACAAGATATTAATTTTACCATAATTTGTTTTTTTTTGTGTCTGTCACTACATTTTCTCAGCTCTTATTGAACCGATTTCTTTCAACGATTCGTCAAAAGTTCACAAATTGTATCTAGTTGAAGTCATTGCTCTTAAAAAATAAAAAAAATTTTATTATTCCCCATAAATGGGGGAAATTTCCAAAAAAATTATAATTTTAAAAATCAGTAATTTTCTACAACTTTTTATTTTTTTTTTCTAAAAACTGCCATAACGTTTTAAAAAGTGAACAAAAAAAAATAATTTTTTTTAAATAGAACCCTTTTATTTTTATTTATTTCCCCTTAATTTGGTATAATTTTTTTTTAATTTTGATCCTTTACCTACCGACAAAAGAGAGGATTCAAAATAGTAACTTATTTACAAAAGCCAACTTTTTCAACTTGGATCAATATTATTATTTTTTGTAATAAATTTTTATATACCCCATTCATCTGACACACTTTTTTTGTAAATCGGATCATACCTCTTTATACAAGGGGGGTCAAAACTTCAAAACATTCGTATTGAAATTAGGACATTTTCAATTTAATTTTTGAAAATGTTCCAGAAATACTGCGTCCTTTAAACATAAGTCAAATTAAAGCTTATGTTACATTTTGTAAATAAAAAAAAAATTTTTGTTCCAATGACCTACCTTCTATGTGTAAATGATTGCTGTAGTTAAAAATCATGCTATCTCTGTGCTTAAATTTTTTTTTTGTTTATTTTAAAATGCCTCATAAGGGTTAAACATAGTAATCAGTCCATCATTTTTGTAAAAATTAGACGAATCTAACTAACATTAAATATAAATTTAAACTTATTTTGATTATTTTTCCATCTCAAAGTTAAAAAAAGCGACTTAATTTAGTTCAATAATTCCTTTTATTTAGGCGCACATGTAGCACACGGTGGCTACGTCGTATAATAGACAGTCTCATACGGTCGATATACCAAGCTCAAACCCCGTCAGTAGTAATAACTTTTATTGTATTTTTTTTCATAATTCTTTTTGTAGTGGAAGAAAAATTAAAAATGATTAATAATAAATAACNTGTAATAAACCAAAAAGAAAAAAGATTAAAAAAAAAAATATATATTAGAATTTGGTTGGAATGTAAAATAATAAAATATAATAAATGGTAGGTATAATAAAATATTATAAGATGATAGGTAGGTTTATAGGGATTAATAATGGAGGATAAGGAAAAAAATGGTGGTGATGTGGATTTTACTATTGAATGTATAAATGCTTATATTGTACCAAAAGAAAATCTAAGGGTTGGTTCTTAGTCAGACTAAAGACATAATATAGCGTATGTATGGCCGAATAATAATAAAAATTATTAAATATGACGGTGAATGGCGGAGTAACACATGTTTAAATGTGGCAAGATATGTAAGGGTGCAAAGAATATAATAATATGAATAAAAAATGATTCAGAGGGGTGAATAAACGGAGTTTAAATACATGAGGGTAATGATCAAATAAATAAAAATGCACAAAAACGTTGTGACAAAAATAATGAACTGATCTCGGGGTTGAACAATATTGAATAAATGAAGTCAATTATCCTACCAAACTTTATTACCTATCTTAATGGTTTATTACGCAATATAGTATTTATAATTTGAAAGCGGGAATTTAAATTTGTACTTACCTTGTATCCCACGTAGTGTAATGTTTATTTTTGACAATCCAATGTTGATTATGAGTTTATACTGTATTTCACACGTTGTACACTTTGATTTCGACAGTAAATATGACCGTTTGAGAATAAAGCGTTTAATTATAAATAATACGAAACCGTTACACAAAATCTATGACTGTATTATTGTATGCAAGAGATTCTATACACTCTATATTTTTATAATTATAATCAAATAATGTATCTTTAGTTGACTTAGTAGAATGAGTATATTGTTTGAGAGATTATATTTTATTGAGAGATCGACACCAATATTTCTTAAATTTTCCTCTGGCCTGGCCAAAACAAGATTCAGAAATATTTATATCTATGTAAAAGATTTGTCAGGGCGGAATTGTGGTGGCCCAATGTGTCCCGGTGCTAAATTAAAGCACCTTGAAAGGATGCGGCACAATAATCACCAAGACAAAAATTAAACACTAAAAACATATATTTGTAAGTTTCTCTGTGCTGTCTGCCGGCGCGATGTTTGTTAAGACAAAGACATTAAACCACAGAAGATTAGCTACCCAATACACATAGGCTTACAAATATATTCTAACCTAACACCTAACTTTAAAAATATTTAATTGCAACCTTTACTCTGTCTGCCGGCGCGATGTTCGTTAGAACAAAGACATTAAACCACAGAAGATTAGCTACCCAGTAAGTATAGAGTTGCAATACACTTAGTCATATAATCAATATTTATCATTAACTGAGAAAATTAGATTTGATTCGGTTTTATTATAAAAAAAAAATGTTTTATTTTAAAATATTAATTGACATTTATTTCCATGGTAAAATAAAAATAAAATATCATTATATAATGAACAAATTAAATTAAATTAAAAGATTCACCAAAACAAAATTCACTTTAAAATTTCTAAGTGTCATTTAGTTTTAAAGAAAAATATTCTAAGTCCAAATAAATTAAAAAAAACGACTAAGTGTTTTAAAAATTGAAAAATATTCTAAGTCCAAATAAATTAAAAATTAAACTAAGTCCCAGAGAGTAGCATCTTGAGTAGAGTGTCGCAGATTTTGTGTAATTTAAAATAGCCGAAAGAACTGATTTTAATAGGAAAAAATGGGTTTTTATAGTAGACGAGGGTCGTGTAGCGATCCCTAGTGTGATCTTAGAAACTGTAGATCTCAATTAATAGTTGAATGTGATTGGCTGGACTTAGTTGAGAACCCTCACATGGGCGTGACTTTGAATCTGTACGATAATCAGATTTAATTGACTACTTTATTGATTATTTTAAGTCTTAGATAAGGGAACCCTGTTTTGGTGATCTTGTGAATTCATAATATATGACATACATGTACATAATATAACATAATATAATATTTTAATATTATAAGT